AGTTTTTTCTTGCATTCGGGGTGCCTCTTCATGAGGACTTAAATGCATGCAGTGATCCTCTGCATCTGTTGAGAGGCATTCTAAATGTATCCCTACAATTTAAAGTGCATGCATACATGCAGAAATATTTTGGGCCTGATGCATGCATGCTACATGCATATATACATGCACATTGCATGCAAGCATAATTTGGTCATAGTCTACAGAACAATAACACCAGTTTTTTATAAGAATGCCATGTTAATAAGCTGCACTCAGGCGTTAATTTTCTTCCTTATGATTGCAAATCCAGTGCAACAGGAGATTGGCTGTTGTCAAGTTGTTGCCTGGCAGTTTTGCTTGGGACCATCAAATTAAAGAAAAAGTAGATTTACAAAAGTTGACCTTTAGTTAAGCTTCCATGAACCAAACCAGCATGATTTAACAAACCCAACTAAAAACCTGGTATCTTGCTGTTTCTATATGGAAAGGCTTGAAAATGGCTTGGAGTATTTCGGTGCATGTGTTTTAAAGTATGATCTTCCTCCAGTGAGTTGAGTCTGTGAAAGAAAAGTTAGTTTTGGAGAAGATGTACTTTAGTTGGAAGAACTTAGGTTGGAGTTTGATTACATGCATGAAGATTAAACACTAAGAGTACCCACTGAAATTATTATTTAATTAGTAAACTGTCAATCAACCAATTTTAATTTGTGCAGTGAATATGAAATGGAAGTATTTTAAAGGTCATGTGCGTCATTTGTAGAACTTTACTTTATGAGGGTGAATTTATATTTGACTTTGGTGTATACTATAAAACTCTTCTTCATGGCTGAAGGAAAGGAAAAGACTTAACCTAGTATTTAATTTAAATTATTCTTGTTTAAATTATTGCCTTTTCACCATTTTATTTCGAGAGTCGTACTCAAAGGTATATATCCAAATAATACATAATGGTGGTTGTATAATGTAACTTTTCAGAATTTACAAAATGTCCTTCAGTATATTACCATTTCCGTCTAAAGGAACAATAAAATTGTTTTAGCGTGACGCACGTCATTAGAGAGCATTTGAATTGAATCTCGTTTAAGCAAAACTAAAGTTATCGCAACAGCCAATCAGAGCTGAAGAAAATGTAGAGAGGAGCCAATAAGAACTCAATGTATTAAGGGCGGGAAAACGCGGGTGACCAAATTGTGATTGGGTTTACTTTGAAGTCTGCTTGGTTTACAGGTGAGTGGAGTTTTCTGGACCAATCAGAAAGCGAAGGGAAGTAAAACCATTCAGCACAACCCAGAATTACTTTCGAAACTCCATTAAGAAAATTTTTCTCGTCCTTAGAATATTATGAGAGCATTAGCCGGTGTGAGGCCTTTCATTTAAAAGCTACGGGATTAAGTTCATTTCATTATATTTGAAGTGACATCACACGCTTTCGTTTTAGTATTCTAGGGATGAAACGATGTTGTATAACCGTTAAACGCAGCTGAAATCTTCAAGAACATATATTACAATTTCATCGAAAATCCTTGTCATCAACTGGAAGATTTCAGCAGCGCAGATGAGATTAATGGAATAGTTATCGAAACGTGGACTAATCTTTAGCGTCCAAGAAAATCTCACGTCCGTGAAATGTAAAATGCAAAGGAGATACATTTCGATATCTCAGAATGTTTGAAACAGGTTACCAAGTACAAAGGTTATTACAATAACTGTCTTTACAAAGCTTGGCAATTTATGTTCCAGATCGCAGGAAACATTGAACTGCTAGGTAAGAAATTTTGGCGTAGACGAGAAAAGCAGACGTACGAAACAGTGGCTTTGGGTCTGAATGCCAACTTCTCCGATCATTGGCAAATGCGCAATCAGATTGGTAAAAAAAAGCACCTACTGTCGATACCAGCAAGGATCTCATAAGGGACGCAGTTTTTATTTTTTCATATGCCTTTAATCTGTTACCGAAATCTGAGGCAACGTAAAACAAATTGAACTGGTTTAAAATCCAGAAAAAATTTCAACCGTCTCAATACCAAGATCATGGTTTGTTATCTCGTCAGCTTTGCAAAAACCTTTTTTTCTCTTCTTTGTTCTTAAAATGATGTCTACTTATCGCAAATTCTGCGGGGATTAATCTTAAAGAGGCCTGCATATTATAAAGTAATGAAATACTCAAGACTTCCTTCGAGATACGATAACAGTACCCTTATGACCACGTATTCGTGACTCTCTTGTCGACAGATGTGCACGTATTATACAGACATGTTCAAATTTATTTTTGCCCTCAGTATAGAAAATTAAATTGAGTTTTAATTTTAATTGAGCGAAAACATAAACTATATAAGTTGATTTTAATTGTCAATGATATGGAGATTTGCCAACGTTCCCCCTTTGGTTATCCTGATCATTTCCTTGTTTTGAAACACTTAAGATAACACCTCCAATTTCCATTATTATTGAAGAAATCGGTGCCATATATTACATTGCAGTCAGAGATTGTTCCGAAAAAGACTGAACGTTGTTTCCTTTGAGCTTGAACGTCGATGAAACTGCCTTTCTGAAACTCACTATAGAAACATCTACGTGAGTCTGCATCAGTGATGTAATTTTTCTGTAGTTCAACTATTTAAAGTTCATTCAAAGTTTTTAAGTCTTGAGATTCTCACCTTTGAAAGAAACTACTAGGTGATTTAACAAGTCTCTTCTGCCAACCCACCAGTTCCTATTATTTCTGTGATTTTTCCACTGACTAAAACAGGAATTTCAGTTGATCTCTACCAAGTTTTCACAATTACGTCGCAACATTCAAATTAACCGACCATCACTTGTAACACAGGATAAGAGTTAATATTGAAACTCGCTTGTAAACTTGTCTACTACAAGAGAAGTAGGTCAATTCAAAACAACTCTGTCATTTTCTATGCTGACATCAACTTTTTAATTTCTCTTCTAGTCTATTTGTAGTCTTTTTTGGCCCGTCCCGAATTAAGTCGTTCACATACTTCGAACACCGTGCGAAATACGTCAAATAGTTGCGGCCACGATAACTATTCAATAAAAACACCAACTTCTTGCGTATTCTTACTGCTACTTACGTCTTGAATAAGTTATATATTTTTTTGGTTTATGAATTTCAGAACCGCGATATCTAATTTTAGCATCTGTAAGATCTAGTGGGAAAATCCCCTCCTCGGTTGAAGCCACAGTTTTGTGGTTGTTCAATCACAGATGTTATTAGGAAAAGTCCAGGTGCAATCAGACCACGAGAGAACAACTGTTTCGTTGATGACGAAAATTGTCATTTTCTCCAACGCAGGAAAACTTTGCGTCGGGTCTAAAGTGACGACGTTGCCGTATATTGATATTAGTTATTAAGCCATGTTACCTGAATCATTTCCCAACCCCTCCCCGACCCCAAAACAAAAAACAAAACAAAAAAAAATAAAAGAAAAAGGAATTTTGACAATTGCAAAAGTTCACCGCATTGGAACGATAACTGCAAACCGGAGTAATAAAGAAACCCAGATAGCCCCTTAATTTAATTTTTTTAAACTCCATTTGCGCGCCTTCTTTCTGGAATAGTAATGGACAAGGCAATCTGAGTTGTCACGCTCTAAGAAAAATGTGTAATGAAGAGAAGTCCTTAGTCGGAGAAATACGGACAAAAATACTAGTGGTCGGAAATGTATCAACGTAAATAAGACCAATAACTGCAAAGCAAATCGATCGAAAAAAAGTGCGTATGAGTTCCGTGAGGAAAACCTAGGAATTCAACCCAATAAATGCTAGAAATTGAAAAAGTTTACATCGTAGTCTTTCGAGTTATAAGCAACAAGACAAAAGCTGGCTTCAAAATTGCAAATATTTCTTTCAAAACTTACTGTGCATATCATTATTTTGGTGGCAAACTCTAAACTATAATTACACCGATTAAAACATTCCCCTTATAAAACAGTGGGCGTTTCTTGGACGCCTTTGCTAACTTTCTGAAGTAAATACTATGGAGGGAAATAAAACTCAAATTCACAAGCAACATTGGGGACCAGTTGCTCACTAAAACAATGACGACGATTAATGTCGCGTCTGAAGCTTACACAAAGCGCAAATACTTAACTTCAATAATCCTTATTCGTTTTCTTACATTATTCTTTGAGTGACAGAAATTTGTCCAAATGTCAATCGTTCTATTTCCCCCATGTTCATAATAAAAGTTAAATTGTTTATATATCCGTATATAAAACATCATGTTTCTACCAAATTTCGTAAATATTGTATAAAATAAAACCATCACGCGATAATTTTCAATCTTTTGTTTCTGCTCTTTGTAATTCTCAGACTTTTTTAGAATTCGATTGATCACTAAAGGAGTTAAAGAAAACTAAGCAAAAAAGTAGCAATAAATGAACCACGAATCGAGTTTAGACTATCTACAGACAGGCGGTTGGCCATTAAACCTATTTACCCTTCTTACCGAAAAAAAGAGAGAAGAAACATCCTAATAAAAAAAAACAGACACTCAAACAAACAGCATTTTATTCACGATTTTCAATTTTCCCTGATTACAGATTAATGGTTTCTACAAGGAACAGAAAAGATCTTTCCAATTAAGAATAAAAAAGAATGAGTTTTCTTATCGATTGCGATAGCCTTTTTCAGTCCACCATCACATCCAAAACCACCGAAAATCTTTGCCCATCTGGCAAAATCTCCCACGGAATGCGTGGTAGAACAAGGCGTAGCCATCGCTCTTTGAAGGAATCTCGTATTTTTGCTACTAAGATATCCGTACTTAATTAGGATTAAGGAAAGGATTGTGTTTGTACTGAGTTTGGAGTATGAGGGAATACGCATAGTTTGTTTTTGTCAGCTCTGTTATCAAGCGGCGGTGTATCGTTGTGGTTTTTACGCCAGCGTAAGAAACTCTGTTACGCACATGTCATATTGCGCGAGATGAAATTGGCTCAAGACATCATCAATTATTGACGCAGTGAAAACGATGATATAAGGACACAGAGGTGAAATGTTGCCTGCTTAAAAGTTCTGGCGCTTTGACCTCCAAATTAAGCGCTATAAACTTTCTTGGTTTATCATACTTGTTTAAACTTCTTTGAAGTAATTGTTCGGGAGAGTTATCTGCTGGATTACAAATAATTTCGCCGTTGTCAAGTAACATGAAGAACGGAGCATTAGCGCTCTTTTTTTGCATTCTCAGTCTGACCAGAGTGTTTGCCGAAGAACAAACGACTCAACAGAAGAAAACCGTTGCGAAAAGAGACGAGGTCTTTTACAACAATGTTGGATCGGTGAAAAACTCCTACAGTATTGAAGAAGAGGACAGGAGTTCCAGGTCGGCTGAAAAGGAAGAAAATCAAAACAACAATTCTGAGAACAAGGGCGAATACTTATACTACGGTTCAGTTTACCCGAGGGACTTTGAAGGAAGGGAATACGAATTGAACTATCCCACTTATGAAGAATGGTATGGCCCCTTTGAGCCGCCTGAGGAATACTATCAGAACGTAGACGGAGATTATAAACGTTCACTGTACTCTCGAGGGAAAAGAAGTGCATACTATGGTCCACGAGGGGGAAGGAGTGTCTACCATGGACCCCGAGGAGGAAGATCTGTAGCAACTGGAGCTGGGCCTCGTGGAGGGAGATCGGTTGAGAACGACAGTGGACCCCGTGGGGGTAGATCTGTGGAAAGTAATATTGGACCTCGTGGGGGTAGATCTATGGAAAGTAATATTGGACCCCGTGGGGGAAGATCAGTGGAAAGCGACATTGGACCCCGAGGGGGAAGGAGTGTAGAAGATTCCTCTTATTTGTCAAATACAAACGTCGGGCCCCGTGGAGGAAGAAGTACAGATGCCAGTGGACCAAGGGGTGGAAGAAGCGTTGATAAATCAAGTCAGAAATCGGACGCATCGTCAACTGTAGAAACAGGGCCACGAGGCGGACGAGCAGTTTCAGACACAAAAAGCAAAGCGGATGAGGCTAACGGACCCCGTGGAGGACGAGATACCCAGTCTGCAACCAATGACCAGAGGGGTGGTAGAGATGTGGGAGAGAAAGGCCCCAGGGAGGAAAGAGTCAGGTCAGTTGAAAATGATGGCCCGAGGGGAGGTAGATCAGTAGAGTCCGGCCCACGGGGTGGAAGAGCTATTGATAGTGGCCCCAGGGGAGGGAGGGCTATTGAATACGGTCCTCGGGGAGGAAGATCTGTATTTTATGGCCCTCGTGGTGGAAGAGCGATAGAATACGGCCCAAGGGGTGGTAGATCAGTTGATTATGGACCAAGAGGTGGTAGAGCGATCGACTACGGACCCAGGGGTGGAAGAGCTATTGAGTATGGACCTCGGGGTGGCAGAGCGATAGAATACGGCCCAAGGGGTGGTAGATCGGTTGACTATGGACCAAGAGGTGGAAGAGCAATCGACTATGGACCCAGGGGGGGAAGAGCTATTGAATATGGACCTCGAGGTGGTAGAGAAGTCTACTACGGACCCAGAGGAGGAAGGGATATAGATTATGGACCTCGTGGTGGGAGAGAAATTTATTACGGACCCAGAGGTGGAAGAGCCATAGATTTTGGTCCTCGAGGAGGTAGGGCTGTAGATTACGGTCCCAGGGGAGGTAGGACTGTCGAATACGGTCCCCGGGGAGGAAGGGCTGTAGAATATGGTCCTCGTGGTGGTCGTTCGGTAGATTTTGGCCCACGTGGAGGTCGTTCACTTTTATACGATGTCGTTTTTGGTCCAAGAGGGGGGAGATCCTTAGCGTACGAACCACGGGATAGAAGATTCGTAGAATCCGAGGGTCCACGTGGTGGAAGGGACATTGACTTTGAATACGGTCCCCGTGGAGGTAGAGACCTAGAGTATGTAGACGTCAACGGGCCTAGAGGAGGGAGAGCCACTGGAGGAATTGACTTCGGCCCCAGGGGAGGTCGTGACCTAGAATATTCAGAAGAGGAAGGATTCTATGATTTTGGTCCACGAGGTGGACGGGCTGTTTATTTTGAGACGGGGCCACGAGGGGGTAGGAGTGTGGAATTCGAGACAGGACCCCGAGGAGGGCGAGAAGTGGAATATGGACCCCGTGGCGGACAGTACCTTTACAGTGGGCCACGTAACGGGAGGGACATATCTGGACCTCGAGGAGGACGTAGTACCACTGTTGCGGAGAGTTCAAACGGTCCACGTGGAGGACGTGACCTTGAAAATGGGCCTCGCGGAGGCAGAAGTGCCATGGCAGGCCCTCGCGGTGGAAGAGGCATCTTATCAGAAGGATCAATGTGGGCCGCCAGTTCTGGAGAAACTAATGATGGGCCACGGGGAGGGAGAAGCGTTGGCAAAAACACTGCTGACGCATCTGGACCTCGTGGAGGGCGAAGCACTGCTGAGAGCAGCACAGCTGTAAAGCGAGAGGCAACCACTGCAGGGAAAGAGCAAACAGTTGTTAAAGAAAGACAGGAGAGGGACTCCAAGGAAGTAAACGTTGATGTAGAGAAGGTCGATAAGAAGCTAACAAATTCGAGCTGAGCGCAAAGTCGCAACTGATGGTTTTGCTCAGAAATAAGGTAGATGCCACTAAAATAAATTGATGCACCTTAAAAAAAGCATGAGCCCGTACCCATATATAACCCAAAGTAATTTCACGAGGCAGAAAGTTCGTGTATATAAAGGCCTCAATGGGTGATGGCTTCTACAGTTAACGGCTAAAATTTTGGCCATTTTATGCCTAACGGTTATTAACCTTCTATTGTGATTAAAATGAAAACATTTTCACGGTCAATTTTTTTTTACGACTAACCGTGATTAAAATTTGTCAATTTTACGCCTGACGGCTAAAATTTTGGCCGTTTTACGGCTAACGGTCAACCCCTTTGAGACCCTCATAAATGGACACCTTGAAATTATTGCTTCTCCATTCATACCTAATTGTAACAGCTTTGCCATAAAAAAATGAAAAAAACAAAAGAAAGGAAAAGCTAAATTGAAATTTATTAGAATATAGCACAAGCCTACAGCATTAGTATATGAACATATCAGTATATTTTTCTTCTAACAACATGTGATACTAGCTCTCAAAAATGTTTAAAAGAATTAATAAGTGAAAATTATGTGAAAATTGTTTGGCTGCCGTGAATATGGACAGAGGTTAATTTTATACGCTAATAAATTCCTATATGGCTTTTTCCCATTTTTATTTGTTTTGGGTTTTTTTGCTATGACAACGTTATTGCAAATAGGTATTCATCAGACAAATACCAAATAGTTGTTAAGAAGTTAACCAAAAACAAACAAACAAACAAACAAAAAACAGCCAGCAGAAGAAACAAGTCGCCAAGTTTTGGCCACGAAAAAATGCATGCAATGGCGGGTCATAATCTTGATGATAAGGTCAGTAGCTTTTCTGGTAATAAAAATCTAGCATATATTTAAGTCAAGTTTAAACGTAGAACTTTACATGAGACGTACAAAATTGCAAATTTGGTCGACCGAAAAAGGGTAAAGTTCGACCGTTGGATCAAACGTCAAACATGATTCGTCGAACCAAATTCAGAGCACCCGAAAAAAACCCTTCGATCTGCTGGATTTCAAATTAAGTAATTTACTATTTATTTATTAAGTTTGGTTTATGGAAAAGATCGCGGTTTGTCTTACAATCGATCTTCAGTCACACGCTCTATCCGTCCAAAGCAAACAGTCGATGTCGATTCAAATCAATTGGACGAACTCAACGGATTCAAACGTCAAAGCTAACATTAACTAATTTCTCTCAGTTCAGACGTTTGAAGTCAGCCGTTTGAGGTTTTATTCTTTTATAAATTTCCTAAACCACATTAACGTAATTCTTGTTGTCTAAACCGTTTTTTCTTGACATTGTTTCCATTCAAGATTGGCCTTCTTTGACCCCAATGATGTGCACTGACTGGGAGCGAACAATCACAAGATTTAAAGCTGGAGCCTCATTGGATATTAAAACATAATCTAACGATACGAAAAAATAAGAAAAAAATGCGTTTAAGATGAAAAAGTAGATATACTTTAGCCCATCATTTGCTGTTAAAGTTAAGTTTCTTTACCTCAACGTACTTCACAAAGAAGACAGTGAATATTTTTAATTGGTTAGGAATGGATGTATTGAGGTAAAAGGGATAAAATAAAGTTATAGTAATCAAGTGTAGTCATAACCTCGTCCAGTTCTTTCATTGCTTTAGTGAAAGCGAATAAATGAACGGGTCATGTCAGTAAATGAATTATTTAATTGAGAGACCGCTGACATAAAACTCAAGTGACTCACTGAAGGACTTACTGAAGGACTCACTGTGCGATTCACTAACTGAATGAATGAGTTAACCCTTTACGCCCTTAAATCAGCATCCATATTCTCCACACTGTTCTCTAAACATTTCCCTAAGGTGCTGACAAGGAGAATTTGCCTGACAATCAAGAGCCTCTTTAGTTGGTGATCAGTTCCTTTGTTCTCCTGACGTTAGTGTTTGATTCAGGGATGATATGGTAAGGAGAAATTAGATGCCAGTCACTCTTAGGGATTGAAGGGTTAATGAAGGAATGAGTGAGTGACTGATTGGACGAATGAATGGGAAAATGAAACTTTTAAATAAAGAAAGAGAAAACGAAAGACAGAGGCAACAGAGAAAAGGAGAAAAAAACAAAACAAAACCAAACAAACTCGTGAATATTCATAGAAGTACAGACCTCAGAGAAAGTCGCTACTCAAACTCTCCTCCGGTGAGAGAGCTTCTCCCAACGGAACAGAACGGACGGATTAAGAACACATAAAAGTTGAAAAGCAAAATATACCTTGAGGGAATAAAAGAAAGAATAAGCATTTATGTCAAAAAACGCAGACAAGAAATGTTTTAGCGTCAACATTCAGACTTTCACTCACATCTTTCACGTGTGTAACACATGTACAGTGTTGTTCACTTATCTGACCTTGTCTTATTGGCATCTTCTAAAAGTCTCATAACTTTCGTACTCGTGGATCAGGAGAAGCGATGTGATGTAATCATGACAGGCACTAGCCCCCAGATCTCTTTGCGCCTTGAACCTTTCATTTTCAAGATGGCGAATCCCTTTGTAGGAAGACATCAACCATCCGTTCCTCTCAAATGAGTGAAAGATAACACTATGACAATCAACTTACTTTACGAGAATTGCCGTAAAACATGGCCCAAAGCTTGGTGCGCGTTTGCAAATATTTGTGGGGACATAAGCTGCTTAATTTGGCTTTTTGTTTTGTTCCCACAAATATGGAAGAACAGGAAGCGTAAATCTGTGGAAGGACTTAGCATTCTTTGGGCCACTGCGAACTTCACAGCATCGCTGGCAAACGTTTTCTTCGCTTTTTCTGTTGCACTGCCTGTGTATATCAGAATATTAGCGGTATATATGCCCATTTTAGAGTTTTCCATACTACTACAGTTTTGGTGCTACTCCAAGCACACTATGCGGATGAAATTATCCTACGGCGCTGTGTGTGTTCTGATCTGGATTGCAGTGATCAGTTTAGACCTTTCCGTTGCTAATGCCGCGGAAAAAGTCCAGTGGTTGGCAATTGTTCTTTGGTCTATTGAGTCATTTCCGCAGGTAGGCAGCTCAATTTAATTTATTAATTTGATCTAAGACAATACTGATTTAAAATAACCTACAGGCAAACTAATTCGTGATATGTTACTCTTCGTCCATTATGAAAAATTTAGGCTTAGTTTCCCTACTCGTCATCTTTTTTCGATACCAGACTGTCCTTCACTCTTTCTTTGCTACACACTCTGAATTTTAAATAACACGTGGGGCCAGTCTGTGCATCTGTGAAATTTAACTCCCCAGGAGGCTCCTTTAGGGAGGGGGTGGAGGGGTTTCCAGGGAGCAATTCCTCTGTAGAGAAAAACAGGAATGTACCTGTTCTTAATTTACCTCTATAGGTCCTTCATTCATTTCAAATGAGAGATGGGAAATGTGTTGATTCACAAAAAGTATCTTTCCAAATCAATGATAGGGTATGTTGCATAAATCATAGCGACATTCAGCCTCTGATTGGTGGATCTTTTACTGAATGGCATGGTATTTCAAAACAAACTTTAATGCCACATTGGTGGGAGAGTATAACAGGGTAATTTTAATAGTATTATCAACTGAGGTGATAATGTAAATTGGCCTCCGTAAAGAGTTGAAAAGCTAATGTTTCAAGGGTTAGCCTTTAGCCGTTTGCTCTGATGAAGTGGAGTAAACTTTTTGTATTTGATTCTGTGTAACTAAACAACTAACCTGTATGTGTATGTGTATCAACTTCCTATATTGGAGTGTGACTGTGTAGATAGCTTGCAATGCATGTATCTTATCAGGGCAAGTTAAAGTTACAAGCTCACAATCAATTATCTGACCCACCAAGTTTGATTTTGAGTTAGAGTGGGTGGCAGGGGGAGGGGGCATGGGAAAGGTAATGATATTTATCACTCCATCCCTACCCTCTCCTTCATTTTGACCATCACTCACCCCTTTGATACAAATTTGTTTGTCTTCCCAGCCTTCCACTGCTGTTAAAATTAAAGATGGTGACTATAATTTTCACTGAAAAATCTAAGGAATATAATAGATTACATATGTTTACAAATGACATTAGGAAAAAAACCAGGAACAAGTGTTTGTCGGGTTGTGGTTACTTTGTGAGTACTATAACCTTGAACTCCCAGAAGTGATTAACATGCAAATTCTCCCTATAATATCCACACATTATCCAGCAATCAAGGGATGAGAATACTCAAAATTATCAAGTAGGTAGAATTTATCTTGAACTTACACCAAATTCTCATAACTTAGTGACAAGAAAAAGTGTAGCAGCTAGAGGAGAGAATTAACAATCAGGACCCAGTGGTTCATGAGGCAAATAACACTATCCAAGGGATAAATTGCTATCCAGTGGATAACTGTAAGAAAAAAAACATACTGTGCTAACAGTGCCAGTTGTTTGTCCAAAGACAAAAGTTGGTTACCTGTGGCACCTATGCTCAGCTGTAGTATAGCCCTGCTGCAGATGCATCTGAACACAAGCAGTTCACTCCACTTCACTGTCTCTCGCACTCCATTTAATTCTGTTCTTCCCCAAATGAGGGCAACTATTTAAGTCTATTCACACCATAGTTTCATTTTTGCTTGGTTCTCTTGACAAACCACAACTTGCCATCCATTTCTGATGAATCCAGGCACTCTGATGTATTGCATGCAACATTCTCTCCCTAAATGTTTGATGGTAGTCAGCAGTGGGTAGGGATCCTATGAGAAAATCCAGTATGCAGCAAATGATGTCCAATCTGTTGCAGAAATCAAAGCACAATTTTTATAGCTCTTAATCGTACAGTTCTAATTATCAGTAGCTGTTATTTTTATTGTTTAATTCCAGATTATTTTGAATATGCGTCGTCGCACAACAGATGGTCAGTCCACAATCTCTGTTGTAATTACACTTGTTGGTAAAACAACGGATTTCTTGGCAAATTATCTCCTGCTTTTGCCAGCACAATACGTTGTCATGACCTATTTTTCGTGTACCATGGCTTTTATCAATGGAATACAGGTAATCTTCTATGAATGGAAAGGCATTTCTTGTAGAAAAACTTAAGATAAGTGAATCACTTCAGAAAAAAGCTAATTAACCGAAAAAACAAACAAAAAAGTAGGGTTGGGAAAACAAAATCTCGAAACTTTGCGAATACAAAGCTTATTCAAGTACGGTTACCTTGCTGATTTGCCATTCTGTTTTGAGCTTTACCATAAAGTTTCTACGCTTTTAAAACACTGTGACATACTGACTTGAGTGGTTGTTTTTAATTCGTATAAGACAACTTGATTTTGGTAGCATGCCACCTAATTGTTACAACAATCGCACGAGACACTCTTCTGTAGAGCTAAAAGAAAACAACCGCAGCCTATGTAACGTCATTCCTTTTTTTTTTTTCTATGGAAAAATAGGTTATCTGGTACCCCAAGCTGCAACAGAAAACAAGTGTTGTCATGCCCACAACATACGGCAGGCACAGGAGTCCAGACGAGGATGCCTTCACTGTGGAAGCGAATGACTGCGAACAAGTTCCTCCGATGGCCGACGAGGGAAGCTCAGTGGAAGAAGTCAACAGAGAATCTGTAGAAGAAATGACCTCCGTTTGCACATTTGTTGGACCGAATTTCGAATTTTGTGCAAGGTTGCGCGATATTCCGTTCTATCAGCGGGGTTTTATATTTCTTCTTATGCTGGCTCTGGTGGTTTTCAGCGTGTGCATTTGCGTGAACACGGAGTCTGCGCTGGGAATTTTCGCGCCAATTTCGGTCGCAGTTGTTCTTTTTGGTGCGTTTTTGTATCGAAATTACCGCGAGGGCCGGTTGCAGTTCGCCAACTCTGTTTTGGCGTGGCTGGATCGCTGCTGCGTTGATAAACCCGTGCAGTACACGTGGCTGACACGTGATGATGAATGAAGAACACTTGAAGTTTTTTTTTGTTTTTTCTGGATGATAGCGGTATTTAAAATTAGAAATAATCGACCTTAGCGCCCGGCGAGTTCTCCTTGTCCACTTTTTTGTGCATTGAAAGTACGATTTGGCGGCCAAAAATGTCCCCAAAAAGCGCGCGGCCAAAACGACTATATTACATAGCTGTGACGTAGAAAACTGTGAAGACACGTCGGCAACTATAATGGAGAGAGGAGAAATCCAGAGGAAAAGACGAACGTATTGCGTGGCCGGAGCGCCAAATGATATTAGCTACACGAAGAATACACATATACCGAGTATTCCTGTACACTACTTTCCAAAGGATATAGCTGTATGGCCAAAATGGATGCGTTTCGATCGTTGTCATCGAGGAGATTTTACTCTTCATTGTCAATGCCTTATGCTCCGTACCGGCTTCGAAGATGGCTATTATGAATACATACCACTAGTAAAATCAGGGGAAGATAACCAATGAATTCAGCTAAAACAATAACGGTGAAGGGGCCTGTTCCCACACCGAACATTTATTAAATGATAAAATTACAATTATAGTTAATCTACAATATCGTAAAGGTTTCCTGTATTGGTGTCGGGAAGAAAAGGAATGGAAATATTATATTATTTTAAGTCATTTAATGTAAGTTATAAAAAGGGCAGGTTGGCTACTTCGTATTCCTTCTTGGTGGTCTTATCTTAAAGGTTGAGTTTGATCAAGTTCTTCTTGTGAGTTTGGCCACGTTCTCCTAGTGAGTTTAATCACGTTTTCTTCGTTGTGATCGTGAGGTTGACATGGAACTAGTGATAAGCCATGTTCTTAAATAAGTTAATTTGTTAGTCCAGGAAGAGTAAATCTCCCTGGTAATAGGTCGCGTTCGACACCTTCGTGTTCCCAGAGGTAATTTAAGGGTAAACAGGTGATACCCCTCATGTTTCGCAACCAAAAGTAATTTGGGGGCGGTACTTGTGAGCGCCTTTCTTCTTTAACTCTTGTGACCAAGATGTTGTTATGTAACAATCTTTAAAGGTGATTTTCTCTTAAGATACACTTTCAGGTATAAATAATACTCTGAACCAAGGTTATTTGTAATTTTTATATTATCGATCTCGTTTCTGTTCTGGCCGATCTCAACCGTAAAGATATGAAAATTAAGGTAGAAATTGATTTTGTAACTGCGTAAACAACCCTAAGGTGCATACTCAGTATGTGGGAACTATAATACGTAGTCAAACGTGATTCGCTAGTTGAGATGGTACGATGACGACACAAGAAGATTGACGGCTTAGAAATGTCATCTGCAGTGTCACCTTTATAAGCGGAGACTTTAGTTTTCCCTGGTATATTGGAGTTAGTCACCGTTGTAACAACTTGAGAAGAAAAGAGATTAAAGAAGAATCGACCAAACCAAAAACGAGTGTTGGAAAATTTACTTCTAACAAGCATGATTGTTCAACATTCTTTTCGGCTGGCATTTCGCAAGCGAAGAATGGTGATCTCCTTATTGTTGTTTATTCCACGCGCTAGAGATGTACTTATATTCCTTGTCTTTCCACATGACCGCATTTGCGCTTTTCTTATCGTATGAAAATCGAACCAGTTGTAGTTTCCATCGTATTTTAATAACACAACTATATCAAGTTCAAGCCCTTTCCTGAGCTGTCCGATCAGTCCTGTTTCGTGAACAGAGCGAAACCTCTGGCTGATGCTGGCATAAACAAGCTCAAAGCGGTTGTATATTCTCCTAACCTGGGTTTCGAAAATCCATCCTACGAGACATCAATTCTCCCTGCTCTTAAGAAACTAAAAGTAGCAACAGTAACAATGTCATTGTGATAACAGCACCGCAACGAGATAAATAAAGAAACAAAAGTTTTATTTAATTAGATGGTAGCGAATCCAAGTGCTGTGTGAAAGTCGATGCATTTGAAATATTCATTTACCTAGTAGGCGAAATGGGTGATATGACAATGCTGCACTTAAACTGAAGAAGTTTTTCTCTATTAAAATCTCTCTTTGAGATTAACTTGAATCAGATTACTATAAATTCACTCGTTTTCCGTTTGACCGGCTCGACGACGATAGCCTCTGCCTTTGCACTCTTCGGTGAAAGAAGCAACTTGCAGTGAAACTGCACGATGACTTCTCGGCGAAAAATCATCGTGCCTCGTGATACAGCTGATTCTTTCGTCAAAAGTTCGCTTTTGGTTTACTAAGGGAATTACAGCAACGAAACTTTAGAGCACTGAGCAAGAGGAACCTTAGCCGCACCTAGTGCGAAGGAATGAAATGGTATGACAACAGAAACGAACACACTACCCAGTCTTAACAGAGATTTCGCCATAGAAAACAAAACACAAACGCAACAAACAATTCAGTAACGGGAGTTTTTGGTTCTATTCTTGACCTGAAAACCGCAGGCGAGAAACCGCCTTTGTCAGTCTTCGTTTGATGCACGCGGTTCTCCTTCGTAGGGCTGAACCGTGCTAGCAACTTCCATTTCTTCTTTGCTACTTGAGTTCGATGTATCACAACTCTCGGTAGAGCTTGCTGTAGGTTTTCACAGTTTTCTACGTCATCACCCGCTAGTTCTTTACCAGTCCATGAGACACTTTTAAGACAAAATAAGAGCACTTTAAGGCTCGAAAAAAACCGTGTTTTGGGCTTTTTGAAATTTTTCTTCTATCGGAATCGGTTTGTGTCATAGGCATTTTAATGTCCATTCAAAGAAACTTAAAGAAGGATAGTCGTCTTTGTCGATAGGAATGGTTGAAGGGGAAATCCTGCACCCGAGCCTTCTTTATTTGTTTTGATTGAAAATGAGCATTACATTTTGATAAGAGTTGAAAAATGGGCTACGAGACTCACATTGCAACAATTACAAAACGCTCTTCTGAAAGTTTCAAAACACGTGTTTTAGATTTGCTTTGTATTGTCTAAGGTGTCATCGTACAATCAATTTTATGGTCAGTTTTCAAGGATGGACATTTTAGGGGCAGTTGAATCCATCAGAATGTCTTCAGTCTTTTGTGTTTCACTGCTTATTTCTTGCAGACGCTACAAATGATCTAGAATCGTGTGTACTTTCGCAATAAGCTTTTCAAGAGTGTCTCGAATCTATGCAATTTCCTTATTGATGAGCGGTGAACCATTAGTTTTGTTGCCCCTTGATAAATTTAAAAGAAAAATTGGACTTTAATTGATCTTCATGATGTAATTTCAATTTAAGTTGGGGCGGAAAAATAAGTTTTAAACAATACGTGCTTGCATATACGAGTTGGATGCTACCTCCAGCTGAGCCACGAATTGTTAGAGGAGTTGCTTTGATAATAGCAAAAATAAAGATAATAATAGTGATGATGATAATAATAATAATAATAATAATAACGATAATAATGATATTAATAATGATGATAACATAAGCCATTAATTAACTAATCAACACTTGATTTGTAGCGGCTTAGAGAGATGATCAAAAAGATCTTGTGACAAGACTGTGTGTTCTATGTCCATGAACTTGCGCAAACTGATCAGTGATACTCACTTGAAGAAGACTTGAAAAACTGAAGTGATTTCTTCGGTACAGAAATTCCCACAAACGACCAAAGTAGTACCACTGCTGGAGAGAGTTCAAACGGTCCACGTGGAGGACGTGACCTTGAAAATGGGCCTTGTGGTAGCAGAAGTGCCGCATGCCAAGCTCTCACGGTGGAAGAACCATCTTATCAGAAGTATTGATGTGGACCGTCAGCTTTGGAGAAACTATTGATGGGCCACGGGGAGGAAGAAGCGTTGGCGAAAACACTGCAGATGCATCTCGTGGAGGGCGAAGCACTGCTGAGAGCAGCACAATTGTAAAGCGAGAGACAACCACTGCAAGGAAAGAGCAAACAGTTGTTAAAGAAAGGCGGAGAGGGACCCCATGGAAGTAAACGTGGACATAGAGAATGTCGATAAGAAGCTAACAAATTCGAGCCGAGCGCAAAGTTGCAACTGATAGTTTTGCACAGAAATAAGGTAGATGTCATTAAAACCAGTTGATGCACTTTAAAAGAGCCTGAACCCGTACTCATGTATTACCCAAAATCGTTTCACGAGGTAGAAAGTTCGTTTATATGAGGGTCTCAATGGGGTGATGGCTTGTTCAGTTAACGGTTAAAAGGTTGGCCATTTTATGGCTAACGGTTAATGACCTTCTATTGTGATTAAAATAAGAAAAATTTTCACGGTCAATTTTTTTTACGACTAACCGTGATTAAAATGTGTCAATTTTCACGTCTAACAGCTAAAACTTTGGCCGTTTTACGGCTAACGGTCAACTGACCACATTGAGACCTTCAGATGTGGAAACCTTGAAATTATGCCTCTCTATTTATACCTAATTGCATTAACATTTTCATTAAAAAACGAAAAAAACAAAGGAACGTTTTTCAGCAGATTGCACAAGCCTAAAGCAGTAGTATATGAACATATCAGTACATTTTTCTCCTAAACAACATGTGATACTAGCTCTCAAAAAGGTTAGAAGGAATTAATTTGCGAAAATTCTGTGAAAATTGTTTGGCTGCCGGGAATATGGACAGAGGTTAATTTTATATGCTAATAAATACCTATTTGGCTTTTTCCCTTTTTGTTTTTGTTTTTTTTGCTATTGCAACGTTATCGCAAAAAGGTGTTCATCAGACAAATGACCAAATAGTTGTTAAGAAGTTAACCAAAACCAAACAAACAAAAAAAATGAAACGAAACAGACTGCAGAAGAAATAAATCGCCAACTTTTGGCTACTAAAAATGCGTGCCATGGCAGGTTATAATCCTGGCTTTTCTGGTAATAAATATATGGTATATATTTTGGTGTAGTTTAAACTTAGAACTTTACATGAGACGTACAAAATTGCAAATTTGGTCGAACAAAAAAGGTAAAGTTCGACCGTTGGATCGAGCGTCGAACATGATTCGTCGAACCAAATTCAGAGCACCCAAAACAAGCCTTCGATCTCTGCTGGATTTCAGATTAAGTATTTATTAAGTTTGATATGTGGAAAAGATCGAGATCTGTCCCACAGTCGATCTTCACACATTCTATTCGTCCGAAGCAAACAGTCGATGTTAATGATCCAAATCAAGTGGACGAACTCTTCGGATTCACAAAGAAGACAGTGAATATTTTTAATTGGCTAGGAATGGATGTATCGAGGTGAAAGGGATAAAATAAAGTTATAGTAATCAAGCTTAGCCATAACCTCGTCCAGTTCTTTCATTGCTTTAGTGAAAGCGAATAAATGAGCGGGTCATGTCAGTAAATGAACTGTTTAATTGACTCACTGAAGGACTCACTGTGCGATTCACTAACTGAATGAATGAGTTCACCCTTTACATCCTTATATCAGTATGCATATTCTCCATACTGTTCTCTAAACATTTCCCAAGGTGCTGACAAGGAGAATTTGTCTGACAATCAAGAGCTCTTCAGTTGGTGATCAGTTCCTATGTTCTCCTGGCATTAATGTTTGATTTAGGGGTGATATGGTAAGGAGAAATTAGATGCCAGTCTCTCTTAGGGATTGAAGGGTTAATGAAGGAATGAGTGACTGATGGACTGGAAGAATGAATGAGAAAATGAAACTTTTAAATAAAGAAAGAGAAAACGAAAGACAGAGGCAACAAAGAAAAGGAGAAGGAAACAAAATAAAACCAAACAAACTCGTGAATATTCATAGAAGTACAGACCTCAGAGAAAGTCGCTACTCAAACTCTCCTCCGGTGAGAGAGCTTCTCCCAAAGAACAGAACGGTTCACATAAAACACATAAAAGTTGAAAAGCAAAATATACCTTGAGGGAATAAAAGAAAGAATAAGCATTTATGTCAAAAAACGTAGACAAGAAATGCTTTAGCGTCAACATTCAGACTTTTACTCACATCTTTCACGTGTGTAACACATGTACAGTGTTGTTCACTTATCTGACCTTGTCTTATTGGCATCTTCTAAAAGTCTCATAACTTTCGTACTCGTGGATTGGAAGAAGCGATGTGATGTAATCATGACAGGCACTAGCCCCCAGATCTCTTTGCGCCTTGAACCTTTCATTTTCAAGATGGCGAATCCCTTTGTAGGAAGACATCAACCATCCGTTCCTCTCAAATGAGTGAAAGATAACACTATGACAATCAACTTACTTTACGAGAATTGCCATAAAACATGGCCCAAAGCTTGGTGCGCGTTTGCAAATGTTTGCGGTTACATAAGCTGCGCAATTTGGCTTTTTGTTTTGTTCCCACAACCATGTAAGAACAGGAAGCGTGGATCTGTGGAAGGACTTAGCATTCTTTGGGCCACTGCGAACTTCACAGCATCGCTGGCAAACGTTTTCTTCGCTCTTTCTGTTGCACTGCCTATGTGTTTCAAAATATTAGCGGTATGTAAGCCCATTTTAGAGTTTCCCATACTACTACAGTTTTGGTTCTACTCCAAGCACACTATGCTGATGAAATCATACGGCGCTGTGTGTGTTCTGATCTGGATTGCAGTGATCAGTTTAGACGTTGCCGTTGAAAAAGTCCAGTGGTTGGCAATTGTTCTTTGGTCTATTGAGTTATTTCCGCAGGTAGGCAGCTCAATATAATTTATTAATTTGATCTAAGACAATACTGATTTAAAATAACCTACACGCAAACTCTTCGTCCCTTATGAAAAATTTAGGCTTAGTTTCCCTACTCGTCATCTTTTTTTCGATACTAGACTGCCCTTCACTCTTTCTTTGCTACACACTCTGAATTTTAAATAACATGCAGGGCCAGTCTGTGCATCTGTGCAATTTAACTCCCCATGAGGCTCCTTTGGGGGGGGGGGGGGATTTCCAGGGAGCAATTCCTCTGTAGAGAAAAACAGGAATGTACCTGTTCTTAATTTACCTCTATAGGTCCTTCATTCATTTCAAAGGAGAGATGGGAAATGTGTTGATTCACAAAAAGTATCTTTCCAAATCAATGATAGGGTATGTTGCATAAATCATAGCGACATTCAGCCTCTCATTGGAGGATCTTTTACTGAATGGCATGGTATTGACCTGTGGGGCACTTAAAAACCTATGGTGGAGTGAGGGAGGGGGGGGGGGGTAAGTTTCAAAAGAAACTTTAACGCTGCATTGGTGGGAGAGTATAACAGGGTAATTTTAATAGTATTATCAACTGAGGTGATAATGTAAATTAGCCTCTGTAAGGAGTTGAACAGCTAATGTTTCAAGCATTAGCTGTTTGCCATTTGCTCTGATGAAGTGGAGTAAACTTTTTGTATTTGATTCTGTGTAACTAACCAACTAACCTGTATGTGTATGTGTATCAACTTCCTACATTGGAGTGTGACTGTGTAGATAGCTTGCAATGCAGGTATCTTATCAGGGCAAGTTAAAGTTACAAGCTCACAATCATTTATCTGACCCACCAAGTTTGATTTGGAGTTAGAGTGGATGGCAGGGGGAGGGGCATGGGAGAGGTAATGATATTTATCACTCCATCCCTACCCTCTCCTTCATTTTGACCATCACTCACCCCTTTGATGCAAATTTGTTTTTCTCCCCAGCCTACCTCTGCTGTTAAAATTAAAGATGGTGACTATAATTTTCACTGAAAAATCTAAGGAATATAATGGATTACATATGTTTACAAATGATATTAGGAAAAAAACCAGGAACAAGTGTTTGTCGGGTTGTGGTTACCTTGTGAGTACTATAACCTTCAATCAATCAATCAATCTATTTATTTAACATGGTCAGAATGCTTAGCTAAAAGCTAGTTTACAGGTACGCCACGAAATAAAAAGAGAAAAGGAAATTATAAAGCCTTGTGAAAGTATATAAATTTAAATAAATTAAGATTAAGAACTAGCTAATATTAAAATATAAGAATTTAACAATGTAGTCACCAAGTAAAATGTATAAAATGTATAAAATGTATAAAATGTAATCATTAAAAACAGTAAATATAATCAATGATAGATCCTCACCGCACTGGAGTCCCATGAGATCTAATGTTTGTAAGTAATTTTTAAAAGTAGTAAATGTTTGTATCTTTCGAGACTTGTCCGGTAAAGCGTTCCATAATTTCGATGCAGCATATCTCCATGATCTTAACCCGAAGGTTGTTGATTTTACTTTTGGGAGGTCCAGTATTGTGGTGCCCCTAAGGTTATAAGTGGAGCACCTTACTGTTATAAGATCACGTAAGCTTTTTGGACCTGCACACTGGCTAATATCTTAAAGACAGTGGACAATATTTTCGCTAATCGCTGTTCACGAAGACTTGAGAGACCGATACGCTTACAAAGATCCTCATAAGGCAAGGACTTATCTCTAAAAACAAAACGGAGCGCACGTTGAACTCCCAGAAGTGATTAACATGCAAATTCTCCCTATAATATCCACACATTATCCAGCAATCAAGGGATGAGATACTCAAAATTATCAAGTAGGTAGAATTTATCTTGAACTTACACCAAATTCTCATAACTTAGTGACAAGAAAAAGTGTAGCAGCTAGAGGAGAGAATTAACAATCAGGACCCAGTTGTTCATGAGGCGAATAATGTTATCCAAGGGATAAATCGCTATCCAGTGGATAACTGTAAGAAAAAAACATACTGTGCTAACAATGCTAGTTGTTTGTCCAAAGACAAAAGTTGGTTACCTGTGGCACCTATGCTCAGCTGTAGTATAGCCCTGCTGTAGGTGCATCTGAACACAAGCAGTTCACTCCACTTCACTGTCTCTCGCACTCCATTTAATTCTGTTCTTCCCCAAATGAGGGCAACTATTTAAGTCTATTCACACCATAGTTTCATTTTTGCTAGGTTCTCTTGACAAACAACAACTTGCCATCCATTTCTGATGAACCCAGGCACCCTGATGTATTGCATGCAACATTCTCTCCCTATGAGAATATCCAGTATGCAGCAAATGATGTTTAATCTGTTGCAGAAATCAAAGCACAATTTTTATAGCTTTTAATCTTACAGTTCTAATAACCAGCAGTTGTTAGGGAAATCCAAGGGAGGATTGAAGAAGAGATGCAAAAGGAAAAGACAGAAATCAACCCTGAAGATCATTAGCAGTGAATACACAAACTGGTTTTTTTTCTGATCTCCATGACACACCTCCCAGTCCATGGCATTGCAGATTCAAACCTACTGCCACTCATTAGTACCTTTGGGCATGGAGTGGTAAGGCGGGTGGGGTGGGGTCTGAAGAAAGAGGGGGTTGGGGTGGGAAGGAAGGTTGAGGGCCATACATTCATTACAATTTCACAATGTGGGGGGGGGGGAGGGGGTTGGGGTCTGAAGAAGGAAGGGGGCGAGGTGCGAAGAAAGTTAAGGGGCCGTACAGACACCACAATTTCACTTTTAAAATGATTTTTTATTGTTTACTTCCAGATTATTTTGAATATGCGTCGTCGCACAACAGATGGTCAGTCCACACTCTCTGTTGTAATTACACTTGTTGGTAAAACAACAGATTTCTTGGCAAATTATCTCCTGCTTTTGCCAGCACGATATGTTGTCATGACCTACTTTTCATGTACCTTGGCTTTTATCAATGGAATACAGGTAATCTTCTATGAATGGAAAGGCATTTCTTGTAGAAAAACTTAAGATAAGTGAATCACTTCAGAAAAAAGCCAGTTAACCGAAAAAAAAACAAACAAAAAAGTAGGGTTGGGAAACAAAATCTCGAAACTTTGCGAATTATTCAAGTACGGTTACCTTGCTGATTTGCCATTCTGTTTTGAGCTTTACCATAAAGTTTCTACGCTTTTAAAACACTGTGACATACTGACCTGAGTGGTTGTTTTTAATTCGTATAAGGCAACTTGATTTTGGTAGCATGCCACCTAATCGTTACAACAATCGCATGAGACACTCTTCTGTAGAGCTAAAAGAAAACAACCGCAGCCTATGTAATGTCATTCTTCTTTTTTTTTCTGGAAAAATAGGTTATCTGGTACCCCAAGCTGCAACCGAAAACAAGTGGACCAAATTTCGAATTTTGTGCAAGGTTGCGCGATATTCCGTTCTATCAGCTGGGTTTTATATTTCTTCTAATGCTGGCTCTGGTGGTTTTCAGCGTGTGCATTTGCGTGAACACGGAGTCTGCGCTGGGAATTTTCGCGCCAATTTCGGTCGCAGGTGTTCTTTTTGGTGCGTTTTTGTATCGAAATTACCGCGAGAGCCGGTTGCAGTTCGCCAACTCTGTTTTGGCGTAGCTGGATCGCTGCTGCGCTAATAAACCTGTGCAGTACACGTGGCTGACACGTGATGATGATTGAAGAACACTTTAAGTTTTTTTTGGTTTTTTCTGGATGATAGCGGTATTTAAAATTAGAAATAATCGACCTTAGCGCCCGGCGAGTTCTCCTTGTCCACTTTATTGTGCATTGAAAGTACGATTTGGCGGTCAAAAAGTGACCCCAAAAAGCGCGCGGCCAAAACGATTATATTACATAGCTGTGACGTAGAAAACTGTGGAGACACGTCGGCAACTATAATGGAGAGAGGAGAAATCCAGAGGAAAAGACGAACGTATTGCGTGGCTGGAGCGCCAAATGATATTAGCTACACGAATAATACACATATACCGAGTATTTCTGTACACTACTTTCCAAAGGATATAGCTGTATGGCCAAAATGGATGTGTTTCGATCGTTGTCATCGAGGAGATTTTACTCTTCATTGTCAATGCCTTATGCTCCGTACCGGCTTCGAAGATGGCTGTTATGAACACATACCACAAGTAAAATCAGGGGAAGATAACCAATGAATTCAGCTAAAACAATACCGGTGAAGGGGCCTGTTCCCACACCGAACACGATTGTTCGACATTCTTTTCGGCTGGCATTTCGCAAGCGAAGAATGGTGATCTCCTTATTGTTGTTTATTCCACGCGCTAGAGATGTACTTATATTCCTTGTCTTTCCACATGACCGCATTTGCGCTTTTCTTATCGTATGAAAATCGAACCAATTGTAGTTTCCATCGTATTTTAATAACAGAGCTATATCAAGGTTAAGCCCTTTCCTTAGCTGCCCGATCTCCTGTTTCGTGAACAGAGCGAAACCTCTGGAGGATGCTGGCATAAACAAGCTCGAAGCGGTTGTATATTCTCCTAACCTAGGTTTGCGAAAATCCATCCTACGAGACATCAATTCTCCCTGCTCTTAAGAAACTAAAAGTAGCAACAGTAACAATGTCATTGTGATAACAGCACCGCAACGAGATAAATAAAGAAACAAAAGTTTCAATTAATTAGATGGTAGTTAATCCAAGTGCTGTGTGAAAGTCGATGCATTTGAAATATTCATTTACCTAGTAGTCGAAATGGGTGATATGGCAATGCTGCCCTTAAACTGAAGAAGTTTTTCTCTATTAAAATCCCTCTTTGAGATCAACTTGAATCAGAAAAAGCAGGAGATAATTTGCCAAGAAATCCGTTGTTTTACCAACAAGTGTAATTACAATAGACTGACCATCTGTTGTGCGATGACGCATATTCAAAATAATCTGGAATTAAACAAAAATCATTTTGGTGACCAAAAAGGGTAAAGGTCGACCGTTGGATCAAGCGTCAAACATGATTCGTCGAACCAAATTCAGAGCACCCAAAACAAGCTTTCGATCTGCTGGATTTCAGACTTAGTAATTTATTAAGTTTGATATATGGAAAAGATCGAGATCTGTCCCACAGTCGATCTTCACACATTCTATCCTTCCGAAGCAAACAGTCGATGTCGATGATCCAAATCAAGTGGACGAACTCTGCGGATTCACAAAGAAGACAGTGAATATTTTTAATTGGCTAGGAATGGATGTATTGAGGTGAAAGGGATAAAATAAAGTTATAGTAATCAAGTGTAGCCATAACCTCGTCAAGTTCTTTCATTGCTTTAGTGAAAGCGAATAAATGAACGGGTCATGTCAGTAAATGAATTATTTAATTGGGAGACCGCCGACATAAAACTAAGCTGACTCACTGAAGGACTCACTGTGCGATTCACAGACTGAATGAATGAGTTAACCCTTTACACCCATACATCAGTATGCATATTCTCCATACTGTTCTCTATACATTTCCTAAGGTGCTGCTGAGGAGAATTTGTCTGACAATCAGGAGCTTCTTTAGTTGGTGATCAGTTCCTTTGTTCTCCTGACGTTAGGGTGATATGGAAGGAATGAGTGAGTGACTGATTAGAAGAATAAATGGGAAAATTAAACTTTAAATAAAGAGAGAGAAAACGAAAGACAGAGGCAACAAAGAAAAGGAGAAGGAAACAAAATAAAACCAAACAAACTCGTGAATATTCATAGAAGTAGAGACCTCAGAGAAAGTCGCAACTCAAACTCTCCTCTGGTGAGAGAGCTTCCTCTAAAGAACAGAACGGACGAATTAGGAACACATTGAAGTTGAAAAGCGAAATATACCTTGAAGGAATAAAAGAAAGAATAAGCATTTATGTCAAAAAACGAAGACAAGAAATGTTTTAGCGTCAACATTTAGACTCTCACTTACATCTTTCACGTCTGTAACACATGTACAGTGTTGTTCACTTATCTGACCTTGTCTTATTGGCATCTTCTAAAAGTCTTTCAACTCTCGTGGATTTGGAGAAGCGATGTGATGTAATCATAACAGGCACTAGCTCCCAGATCTCTCTGCGCTTTGTACTTCCGCTTTCCATTTTCAAGATGGCGAATCCCTTTGTAGGAAGACATTAAGTATCCGGTTCTCCTAAATGAGTGAAAGATAACAATATGAGAATCAACTTACTATTCGATAATTGCCGTGAAACATGGCCCAAAGCTTTGTGCGCGTTTGCAAATGTTTGCGGTTACATAAGCTGCACAATTTGGTTTGTTGTTTTGGTGCCACAAATATGGAAGAACTGGAAGCGTGGATCTGTGGAAGGACTTAGCATTCTTTGGGCCACTGCGAACTTCACAGCCTCGCTGGCAAACTGTTTCTTCGCTTTTTCTGCTGTACTGCCTGTGTATATCAGAATATCAGCGGTATATATGCCCATTTTAGAGTTTTCCATACTACTACAGTTTTGGTTATACTCCAAGCACACTATACGGATGAGAGTATCCTACGGCGCTGGGTGTTTTCTGATCTGGATTGCAGTGATCAGTTTAGAACTTTCCGTTTCCGATGCCGCAAAAAATGTCCAGTGGTTGGCAATTGTTCTTTGGTCTATTGAGTCATTTCCACAGGTGAGCAGCTCAATATAACTAATTAATTTGATCTGAGACAGTACTGATTTAAAATAACCCACACGCGAACTAGTTCGTGATATGTTACTCTTCGTCCATTATGAAAAATTTAGGCCTAGTTTCCTAATCTCGTCATATTTTTCAATACCAGACTACCCCTCACTCTTTCTTTGCTACACACTCTGAATCTTAGATAATATGCAGGACCAGTCTGTGCGATGTAACTCCTTTATAAGTCCTTCACTCATTTCCAAGGAGAGATGAGCAAAGTGTTGATTCACTAAAAGTATCTTTCCAAATCAGTGATAGGGTATGTTGCCTAAATCATAGCAACATTCAGCCTCTCATTGGAGGATTTATTACTGAATGGCATGGTATTGACCTGTGGGGCATTTAAAAACCTATTGTGGAGTAAGGGGGGGGTGTAGGTTTCTTAAGAAACTGTGGCACTGCATTGGTGGGAGAGTATAACAGGGTAATTTAGTATTATCAAATGAGTTGATAATGTAAACTGGCCTCCGTAAAGAGTTGAAAAGCTAATGTTACAAGTGTTAGCTGTTTGCCATTTGCTCTGATGAAGTGGAGCAAACTTTTTTTATTTGATTCTGTGTAACTAACCAACTAACCTGTATTTGTATATGTAACTGACTTCCCTTATTAGAATGTGGTTGCACAGATAGCCTGCAATGCAGGTATCTTATCAGGGAAAGTTAAAGTTACCAGCTCACAATCATTTATCCGACCCACCAAGTTTGATTTGGAGTTAGAGTGGATAGCAGGGGTAGGGGCATGGGAGAGGCAATAATATTTATCACCCCATCCCTACCCTCTCCTTCATTTTGACTGTCACTCACCCCCTTGGTACAAGTTTGTTTCTCTACCCAGCCTTCCACTGCTGTTAAAATAAAAGATGGTAGCGATAATTTTCAGTAAAAAACTGATGAATCTAATGGATTACAAATGTGTACAAATGATATCAGGAAAAGAAATTAGCATCAAGTGTTTGTCAGGTTGTGGTTACCTTGTGAGTACTGTGTCCCTGAACTCCCAGAAGCGATTAACTTGTAACCTCTCCCTATAATATCCACACATTATCCAGCAAACAGGGTATGAGATACTCAAAATTATCAAGTATTTAGAATTTGTTATCTTGAACTTACACCAAATTCTCAGAACTTAGTTACAGGAAAGTGTGTACCAGCTAGAGGGAGGAATTAATAATCAGGGCTCAGTTTTTCATAGGGCAAATGACACTATCCAAGGGATAAATTGCTATCTAGCAGATAACTGTAAAAAAAAAAACAACAAAACTGTGGTAACAATGCTAGTTGTCTGTCCAAAAACAATAGTTGGTTACCTGTGGCACCCATGCTCAGCTGTTGCATAGCCCTGCTGCAGGTGCATCTGAACACAAGCAGTTCACTTCACTTCACTGTCTCTTGCACTCCATGTAATTCTGTTCTATCCCAAATGAGGGCAACTAATTAAGTCTATTCACACCATAGTTTCATTTTTGCTAGGTTCTGTTGACAAACCACATCTTGCCATCCATTTCTGATGAACTCAGGCACTGTGACATATGGCATGCAACATTGTGTTTCTCTCCATAAATGTCCCATGTTAGTCAGAAGTGGGAAGGGATTCTAAGAGAATATCCAGTGTGCAGTGAATAATGTTCGATCTGTTGCAGAAATCAAAGCACAATTCTTATAGCTCTAAGGAAATGCAATGGAGGATTGGAGAGGAGATGCAAAATAAAGACAGAAATCAACCCTGAATATCATTAGCAGTGAATACATAATCTGGTTTTTATTCTGGTCTCTACAACACTCCTCCCACTCCGCAGCATTGCAGATTCAAACCTACTCCCACTCTTAAGCCCTTTCCTGCATGAGGGAAATGCTAAATTTTTCTAAAATGAGAATGGTGAACTAGTAGACCATGTATAATATATATCATTTTATAGGTATTTTTTGGGGTATGCTGATGGACACCAACAGGTGTGGAGGTGGTAATTGAAATAACTGAGAAATTTTTTGTTTGACTCATACATATACCACTAAACTATGGCCTAAATTGCAGCTCTCAGAGCATTGATTGTGGTGAGATATCACCTGAACCAGAACAGTACAAAGACAAAAAGTCCCAAAAGTTGCAGAAGTGGTGAACGAAGTCTTGTATTGGATGGGGCTATGATTTTATGCCTTCAATGTGCAGATCTTTCAATGACCTTTTAGTTTAATGTGGAAATTTTAGAAAAAAATTAAATAGATATTGAACATGTAATGGCATCCTATGCCATATGGCACTCTTGGGCTGGAAAGGGTTAGTACCTTTATGCATAGAGTGGTAACGGGTGCCGGGGGTGGGGGGGGGGGGGGTCTGAAGGAGGAAGGGGGGTAGGTTGGGGTCTGAAGGTCTGAAGGAGGAAGGGGGTAGGGTGGGGTCTGCAGAAGGAAGGGGTAGATACATACTTTACAATTTCAAAATTTCTGAAATGATATTTATTTTTTAATTCCAGATTTATTTGAATATGCGTCTTCGCTCAACAGATGGCCAGTCCACACTCTCTGTTGTAATTACACTTGTTGGTAAAACATTGGATTTCTTGCCAAATTACCTTCTGCTTTTGCCAGCACAATACGTTGTCATGACCTATTTTTCATGTACCATGGCTTTTATCAATGGAATACAGGTAATTTTCTATAAATGAAAAGGCATGTCTTACAGAAAAACGTAAGATAAGTGAATCACTTAAGAAAAAAATCTAATAAACTGAAAAAAAAGTAGGGTTAGGAAAACAAAAACTTGAAACTTTGCGAATACAAAGCTTATTCAAGTAGGGTTATCTTGCTGATTTGCCATTCTGCTTTGAGCTTTACCATAAAGTTTCTACGCTTTTAAAACACTGTGACATACTGACTTGAGTGGTTGTTTTTAATTCGTATGAGACAACTTGATTCTGGATGATGTTTGACCGCTGTGCTCCTCACGAGACACTCTTCTGTAAAGCTAAAAGAAAACAACCGCAGTCTACGTAACGTCAATCTTCTTTCTTTTTTTTTTTTTTTTTTTTCGGAAAAATAGGTTATCTGGTACCCCAAGCTGCAACCGAAAAAAAGTGCTGTCATGAACACAACATACGGCAGCTTCAGAAGTCCGGACGAGGATGCCCTGGAAGCGAATGACTGCGAACAAGTTCCTCTGATGGCTGACGAGGAAAGCTCAGTGGAAGATGTCGACAGAGGATCTGCAGAAGAAATGGCCTCCATTTGCACATTTGTTGTACCGAATTTCGAATTTCGTGCAAGGTTGCACGATATTCCGCTCTATCAACGGGGTTTTATATTTCTTCTTATGCTGGCTCTGGTGGTTTTCAGCGTGTGCATTTGCGTGAACACGGATTCTGCGCTGGGAATTTTCGCGCCAATTTCGGTCGCAGTTTTTCTTTTTGGTGCGTTTTTGTATCGAAATTACCGCGAGGGCCGGTTGCAGTTCGCCAACTCTGTCTTATCTGTGGGTGGATAGCTGCTGCGCTGATAAACCCGTGCAGTACACGTGGCTGACAGTCGTCTTTGTGGATAGGAATGGTTGAAGGGGAAATCCTGCACCCGAGCCTTCTTTATTTGTTTTGATTGAAAATGAGCATTACATTTTGATAAGAGTTGAAAAATGGGCTACGAGACTCACATTGTAACAATTTCAAAATACTGCTCTGAAAGTTTCAAAACACGTGTTTTCGATTTGCTTTGCATTGTCTAAGGTGTCATTGTACAATTAATGTAATGGTCAGTTTTTAAGGATGGACATTTTAGAGGCAGTTGAATCCATCAGAATGTCTTCAGTCTTCTGTATTTCACTGCTCATTTTCTTGCAGACGCTACAAATTCTCTTGAACCGTGTGCACTTGCGCAGTAAGCTTTTCGAGAGCGTTCTGAATCTCTGCAAGTTCCTTATTGATGAGCGGTGAACCATTGGTTTTGTTACCCCCTGATAAATCAAAACAGAGATTGGACTTTAATTGATCTTCATGATATAATTTCAATTTAAGTCGTGGCAGAAAAATAAGTTTGAAACAATTGAAACAATACTTGCCTGCGATAAGTTAGAGGTAGTTGTTTTGATAACAGTAATAATAAAGGTGATATTGATAACAATAAAAATAACGATAATAATGATACTGTATTATAAATGATGATAGCGTAAGCCATCCATTAATTAACACTTGATGTGTAGCGGCTTAGAGAGATGATCAAAAAGAAGAGTGTGTTCTATGTCCTTGAACTTGCGCGAACTGACCAGTGATACTCACTTGGAGAAGACTTGAAAAAACTGAAGTGGTTTCTTCGGTAGAGAAATTCCCACAGAAGACCAGAGATCAGGAATGAAACAAAAATACACACAGAAGTGATCAGCAGGTGCTGATTGGCCCTTGAATGGATCGAAAGGACTCCAACTGTTTCTGTAGGGGAACCTAAAGGCTGAAAGGATTCAGAACGTCTTTTAGTCCAGCGACAGATTGAATTAGAAACTTGATATTGTATTGATTTTTTTTACTAAGGGACCAGTCGACATAAATCGCAGGGGGGGGGGGGGGGACACAAGGTTTTAAGGACGTGGTAATGGAAGGAGGATCAGTCGCCACTGACAGAGTAAAAAGGGAGGAATTGTAATGAAAAAAAAATTACCGCCAATGAGGGTGAATCATAAGAATTTAGTACAGAGCCTTTTGGGAGGTGAGAGATGAGGTAAATCGTATCGTGGCGAGACCAAAACATTCCAAACCCTCTCCCACCCCCCACCCCCTCCCTTCCCCACCTCCAAGCGGTAATGACCGGTTCCTTTAATTTAAACTGTGAGGTGAATTTAGTACGGAAAATCTTCTCAAAGTGTCAGGGAAAGGAGGATAGCAAGTAATGGTGATATATCACTAGGACTAACCTTCACCGGCATTATGTAGTGTTTCATTGTTCTATCCAAACGATGGCGGGAATTGACGAAGTATTCTGCAAGGCATCCATTCTTTCCTGTGAGCTCAGGAAAGCCTCTATCTATGAGCGAGACGCCATATTGTAGTGAAGTGTCGATACGCAAGGCAACTCTAAGATTGTCGTTTTTCAGTTGATCGAGGTAGTAGTAAGCTTTGAATCTGTCCAACATGACACCATCAACATCACCTGCTGTTAACATATCGAACATCTTCATTTCTGTTTCAAAGGCTGGGGAAGGCAATATACGAAATGAGTAAGGGACAATCATTTATTGTCTGGGGGGAGGGGAGGGGATGAAGGATTTGAGGATCACATGGTTTTCAGGGAGAACGGGAGGGCGGATAAGTCGTCACCGACAGAGTATGAAAGGGGGACTATGAAGAGTTGAGTGCCTTGTGAGGGGGGGGGGGGGAAGGGATCATATACGAATATTACGAAGCCTTACCGGAAATCAAGCATATCTCATCGTGACCTCCCTCCCCTAAGGTTTTCATCGCGTGGAACGAGTTTTTAAAAAATCATTTCATTTCTCGATTTATATCAGAAACAATTTTAGGTATTTCTTCAGTCTGGAGTCCTGAGGGAAGGGCCGGTAGAACTGACACGCCCAAGCGGATATTCACTGCACTTTCACACCCAGAAGTGATTGGGAATTTGCCCCTCCACAACGCTACTCCTTCTGAGTAACATTCTAAATATGGGCCATCGCAAGATTCTGAGTGAGCGCTAGAACACGCTTTCCTGGAATTATAATTTATTCTTTTGGCCTTACAACAATAGGAATAGAATTTCGCATAATTTATCGTTTTTTCATGCATGTTCAATACAAAAAAATAGATCCGATGGAAAAATGGTAACGTACTTTTCCGATGGAATAAGCAAAACGCTATTCTTACTTGTAACATAAGCCCCACGATGTCTCGCCTCCTTTTCAGCATCTGATCCGTTTATTGCTGCGAGCTTCGAAGGAAGAAAAAAATATATCGTCGGGGACACTATACGGAAGTAATTTGGCAGCTAAGATGGATACTGTCCTATGTTCAAACATGATATGCTCGACTCTATGTTGTAAAATGGAGTAGAGAGAAAAAACTGACAGCCTAAGGACTTTTGCAATTTGGTTACCCTCCCCCCCCCTCCCGCAGTTCTCTCGGTGCCCCTCACCACTCTAGAAGAACAAAGCCACTATTAAAGAAGCGACATGATTTCCGCTGACTCAAACCGGCGACCCCAAAAATTGCGACTGAAGTTGTTATTACATGCTGATGGTTTGGACAGTGGCGCGGAAAGTAACTGACTGATCACAAGGGTACCTTAAGCTGTTCTTCTCCCGCCAATCACTACGCGTACGTGGTTAAGAAAACCGCAGCTGAAACTATCAACCAAATGATCTTAAGCTGGAGCAAAGGCAGAAAAACATTACTCACGCGTTTTCCTTGAGTACTTTTACAGCCTGGGTCAACAGACGAAACAGTGATGGCGCTGGTGATAGCAGCAGTGAAAATGGAAATAAGACAGACGCCGGTTAAAATCCAAACAACGGAGAAAAGTCGACCGTACATGGTCCGTGGAACTTTGTCACCGTAACTGAAACAATACGGTCAAAATTGCATTATAGAAACGACAACTATGTTATGATAGTTTTGGTATTCTGTTATTTGGTCGATGAAAAGTTTCGCTAATTTAGGGGAAATCTGCAAGCCATTGTTTTCTGTGGTAGACAGACTGCTAACGAGGAGCATAAAAGGTGTACAAGATGACCATAAACCACCTTAAAGATGTAGGGAAAATATTTCAAGGTACACATTCATTGTCCCTGGTGGTGTCGAATTGTAGTGAAGCATGTTGAACATCTGACGATCATCCAAGTTCAAGCTTCTTTCGCACCATTCTCGGACATAAAACCGTTTGAGTCCGTAAGCCGGAGCGAGAGAAATAACAGAAGTCCAGGATTAAAAGGAGAAGCCTAGGAGAGTTCGACTTACAGTGGATGGAATAAAACCTTTAATATACTTTGAAGGAGGAGCTTACAAGATAGCAGGATAATATTTAAGAAAAGAGATATAGCTGATGTACGTCCTTTCCTGAAGAAAATTTGAACGTAGCCAGGAGCCCATTACCAATGGGCTCCTGAAGTAGCCTTGTATGATAAATCAGTCTTACCCAACAGTTGTCATGGTAACAAAAGCCCACCAGAATCCTTCTGTTGATCCACGCCCAAAGGAAGACGGGAAGTGATGATGGTTAGTGCTTGATTCCTGCAGATAAAACATCCTTTTAGTATTTGAGGGAATATCGCAACTTCGTTCATAGAAAACGACCCCATCGCCTTTCTTCTCAAAGCATTATACAGCTGTTTCAAATAGGTCTAAACGAAGCAAGAAGACGTTTGCACGTTTGCCAGCAGTATAGAGTTAGGCACCAGTCATTATTTGTTGGGGGGGGGGGGAGAAGGGTTTTAAAGGATTTAGGTTGTGTCATGATCGAATTAGACCTGATCCCCCCTAAGACTGTGCAACATTCTTATGACCCCATTAATTGCCAGGTAATTGACAGTAAATTTTACCAATGCCCATATGGAGATCCCTGAAATACCAGCCAAGAGTAAAATCACAGCGCAGACGGGCCAAGCAGACAGAATTGTGTATGTAATAATCTTCTCAATCTTCGTCTTACAGGCATTGTAATCAATGACTAACGCAAGACCAGGCGATTCTAAGATAGTGACAAGCGTGACGCGCCAGTTTCGTGATGTCGACAATTCTTCAGTCAACGACGAAAACAACGAAGGTGTTATCGGAATTGCGATGTCAGTTTTTTCTTCCAGAGTGAGGGAGCTCAATTTTTCCTCGGAGAAAACTTCCCTCCAATGCATCTTCGTCATATTGCAGGAGTAGCGGCGAAAACAGCGAATTAATCCCGCTTGCACAAAATCATAAATCAGGCCATGCCATTTTGTGCTATTGGCTTTCACGTATGGAGGGTTGTGGAGGAATGCTGCGCTGAAATTCGTGCTTGAAATTGGGCAATTTCCAATGGAACCTGATTTTAACGCGAAAACAGCCGTATTGTAGAGAAACAGAGAGAAAAAGCACAATTTTGATGCCTTAACTAAAGTTTGCCCCACAGTCATGTTATACCAGTATCACGTTTCCGGGTCCTACACATATTTACAGCAAGATTGTCACGCACGCAGAAGCATAGCAGAAGAACACCCAGGGAAGAGGGGCTACATGATTCTACTCATCCTACCCCCGTCCGTATAAAAGAGCCCAAGACAGCGAGTATGATTTCATGTTGTCCACATGAAACGTGAAACTAATTCAAGATGGCCGCCGGTCACCAACGGGGAGATGAAGTGACAATAAACCATTCCTTTCCCTGGTTAAATTAAACAGCAAAGGAGAATTTAAGATGTCGATGAAGGTTTATTGTGCCTTAATCACCGCACAGCTTGGATTTGGGGCGTATGGCATTATCGTGACAAAGTTTGCCAAGGAAACTAAAGCAGATCCTTTAGTGTTCTGCCTGTTTCGTGATGCCGGAGCTTTTCCAGTCATGATGTGTGCTGCTTTTCTCGTCGAAGGAAAATTGAGTTTTCCTTCTCTCAGGTTAGAAAATTTACTATTTCATAGCCAACCAAGCAGTGGAAGTGAGTCGTATTCTAAATTATGTCCCTAAAACATGAGACGAAGCCCAACTGAAACATTATTTTAAAAATAGTCTCGAAATTATTTTTAATAACTGTAAGATAATGATGAAAATTTAGCTAAGCATCAAGCTTAAAATCAACAAAATTAAAAGTGCTAAGTCGAAGAACCAATTTTTGTGGCTCACTGTAATTTGCGAAACGAAACGAAAATCTGTAAATATGCTAATGTTTTTATTCAGAAGTTGACCGATTTTCATTAAGACTTAGGATAAGTTAACTTTAAAAAAGAAGTATGGTAGAACAAATGTCTTAAAAAATAAAATCATAGAATATATGATAGTAGGAATCTGTAGCCTAGAGAAATTCGCGATGCTGCTGAGTTAAATATATTTAAGACTAGAGCTAAGAAATTCCTGTTAAAGTTATGAGTACTTTGATCTGATGATTTCTGTCTGTCCTGTTTTCTGGATGTTACACATGTTTGTGCCAGACAGAGATACCTCGAATATCACTTTGTGGTAATCTCTTTTATTGGATAATCTATAGATATTTTTACATCTGATTCATAGATCTACATTCGATTTAAATTCTGACTCAGAGTTTTTGAGGATTATTTCATCTATTCATTTAATTATTCATAGTTTTATATAGTTTTTAGACATATATGTTTTTTTATTATGGTGATCCATCTTTGTATGGGGTCTATAACTTCTTTACGGATTATCCATTGGCTGTACTACCTATCATTAATAATTATTTTAGTTTAGCCATTTTGTATTGTATATGCCATGTATTGCAATAAGTAAATAAATATTTTTGCAAATCATTAGCATATTTCCATTTCGCTAATTATATATTTCTAGAAATCTGTAATTTGCAAAAAGGAAATATATGCTAATGATTTACAAATCTGCATGGTGAACTTTACAAAATTTCTACAACGTTTGTGAATAACTCAGTGTTGTTTAGGCAATAGTATGCAAAAGCAATTTGAAATGTGAGTTGACACTGTAGCAGTACTGTCCACAAGGTAAAGACTACATACATAAGGTGTAATCAATGTATGTTGTCGATCAATAATTCAAAGGCATGACATAACACTTACCTGACCAGAAATGGACATGGAAAGTGTCGCAGCATGTTTCTAGATGAAATATCATGTTTACTAGAAAAATGTAACTGACCCAAGCTCTTTTATTTTCTTCAGTCTCAGAATAATTCTCTTTTTTTGCAAATTACAGATTTCTGTTTTGCAAATCATTTGAATATTTCCATGTTGCAAATTACAGATAAATCTGTAATTTGAAATTTCTATTCAGCAAATCATTAGAATATTTCCATTTTGCAAATTACAGATTTTCATTTTGTTTCATTTCACAAATTACAGTGGGCCTTTTTTTTTGTGGTATTTCTAGAAAAACAAATAGAATGGTCCTCTTAACCATGAACTCCTAAGATCTCATCATCAATTCTCCTTACTGTCTGCAATACAATTGTTGTGGTATTAGTTTGGAGAATGTACTATAGGATCAACTAAAAATTCCCTAACTTATACTTTTGTTTATTCTCATTACTTGTAAATTGTAAGGTGAAAATTTGTCGTGGTCACTCCAGGGAGTTAATCCTTTGGCTCCAAAGAGTGACTAGCATTTAATTCCTCCTGACAATAATTATCACCCTTGAATCAAATTTTAAGGTCACAGGAATAAAGGAAATGATCACCAACTAAAGAGGCTTTTGATGGTGAAACAAATTCTCCTTGCCAGCAACTTTAGAAATGTATAGAGAACAGTATTGAGAATAAACATGATGATGTTGAGTTTAAAGGGTAAAAGCTGTTCCAGCCGCCTCAAAAATAATTATTAAATAACTGTTCCAATTTTCATTCTTTTTTGTAGAAGCATACCTTTGCTGATGGTTCTTGGCCTCACAGGACCATTTATTCCTCAGCTTCTTTTCCTCCTTGGTGTTTATTTAACATCAGCTAACATGGCTGCTATGTTCCAGCCTGCAGTGCCTGTGTGGAGTGCTTTCCTCGCAATGATGACTGGAGTGGAACCACCTCCAAAGCTAACAACAAGTCATGGATGCGCTAAAGTTTTTGGAATTTTATTAGCAGTTTGTGGTGCTATGACAATGACGTTAGGAAAACTACATGATACTTCCAGTGAAAAGTCCTGGCTTTTACAAGATTCATCTGTTGGGACTCAGTTTCTGGGTTGCATTTGTCTCTTTGTGAAAACCTCCAGCACAGCCGTGTACTACATTATTCAGAAGAAATATATTTTTAATCAATCCCACTCAACTTGGAAGAAACAACCCTTGGCTGTTACAGCTTGGAGTTACTTTTTTGCTACAATTTTTCTGGCATTTGCTTCATTAACTTATTCAAATCAGCCAGAAAAGTTCACAAGTTTTACGAAGGAAACATTCTATTGCTTACTGTATGCAATTGTGGTCTCCTCAACAATGTGTTATCTGCTTCTTTCTTGGTGTAACATGCAGGCACCATCCACTCTTGTTACCTGCTCCTGGCCTCTTCAGTCTTTATTTTGTGCACTTTTGTCCATGATATGTTTAGGACAATCGCTACAGCTTCTGGAATGTGCTGGTGGTGGGTTGATAATCAGTGGTCTGGCCACAGTTTTGTGGTCAACTTACAAAGAGAGTGAAGAGTTACGTTTGCATTTGAAAAATGAGAAGACACTCTGTTAGGAGAAGTATGACAACAGGTAGCCCAAGCTCCCAAAATGAGCCTCCCTGAATATACAAATATGTTGACATTGTGCAATGGCTGAAATATGAGAATTTTTATGAGAATTTTTATGGGAATAAACAGTTGCCTTTGTGACCTTAAAAAAACTGAACCTAAGAACTATTTTACGGGCAAAGCAGCTGAACTAAAATGGAACTAAACACCCCTACATTAGCCTAAGATACTCTCATGATGCAAAGGAACAACCTTATATTTCAGCCATTGGGTAACATTTACATATTTGTACTGTATATTTACTGAGGCTCATTTTGCCAGCTTGGGCTACTTTTGGTAAAATTCCCTTTTCAAATAATGAAATGAAAAACAGGAACCAGACACTAGTTACCCTTTCACTCTCAAGTGATCAAAAAGAAATTTATCCTTATAATTTTGATACATATTTAAATGTTAGGATAGCATTTGATTTAGCACCAAATTCTCAAAGCCAAAATTATTGGCAATGTATGGAGAACAGTGCAGAGAAAGTGATATTTTGATCTTGGGAGTGAAAGGGTTGATGCAATCAAATTTGTTCGCATAACAACTTCACCATTTCTTCCTTGGTATGCAAATCTCAAAACTGGCTATTATCGATGAAACTTATTTACATTGACTCAAAACTGTAAAAAGTACTACACTGTATTTACATTTGGGTTTCACTATTAAACTAAGGTGCTCTGCATAGCTAAGAGTAAACTTAATGTAAAAATGTCTCAGTATGAGGGAATTTAATTTGTAAGTATGTTAAAAAGGATACATGATATCCCTCCCAAGGATTTAATTAAATACAAATAATATTAGGGAATAAATAGGGAAAAGTTGAAATGATTGATTTTCAAAGTTTTTCATGTGTTAGAAATGCTAGTGTCAAATACTCCTAATTTCACTTGTATTGTTTTCCTGTTTCTTAATGAAACACTTGCCATCCTTAAACCCTTCACATTCTTACATTGGTATTTATATTCTTCACACTGTTTCTTTGTATTTCCTATGGTAATGACAAGGAGAATTTGTGTGGCAATCAAAGGCTTCTTGAATTGGAGATCATTTTCTTTATTTTCATCATCTTTATTTGTTGAGGTTGATACTGTAAGGAGAAATTAGATGCTAGTTGCTCTTAGGTGTCAAAGGATTAAACATGAGTATTGGCAATTACATAAACTGCAGTCAATACAATGAACGAATTGACAACATACAAAACCTGTCACAATAAAAGTTAAAAAAAATCTTTTGATTCAAATTTGTTTCAACCCTAAAACGCCTTGTTACCTGAAACTGGCAAAAAAAAAAGGTAATGGTTGTGTCCTTTCTCTTTACTGGGTTCCCACTATGAATTTCATGCTTGAAGTTATGTTATGTTATGAGGGACACAGTTTCAGCATTTTATTTCATTTAACAGCTCCCTCGACAACGTGAACTTGCTGCACTCCGCAAGGAAGCACTTAGCCTCACTCTGACTCTGAGTCTCAAGTAGTAACTGCACTTTATCCTTAAACTTGTAAGGCAACTGGAATCGGGAATCTTTGTTTGAGCACAGGTGATCCAAGCTCCAGCTGTGAGGTGATCATCTTGCGAAATAAGAGTCGTGGCAAAATTATAAGAGTTTGTATGGGAATATTTACGACCGCTTCTAGGAATGAAAAAAACATAGTCAAATCTCACTTAAAATACCTCACCTTTCTTCCCCAGTGTGCCTGTTATCTGCCCGTTTATTAGAAATGGGTAACTCGCTAAAATGGGTTCTTTTCAACATAGTAAGCGGTCAGATAGCAAGCGATGCACTGTGGAAGTAAGGAGAGGTATTTTTATTGGAAATTTGACTGTACTTTTTGTTCGTAAGAGCGGTCGTAAATATTTCCATACAAACTCTTACGGATTTGGCCATGACTCTGTAGCTTGGGCTACCTGAGGTTTGAGGAACTTTCGGAAAAGTGATGCAGGTACGTTAAATTACAGCGGTGATTAAATTGTTGTGAAGAGCATTTGAAGCACTGATCATCCCCAAAAACACAAGACTTGTTTGACGTGGAAAAATTTGTCTGTCTCTGCTCACATTAGATACTTGATAGAATCACTATACTTAGGAGATCAACTCTATTCTTGTTGATAAATCTTCGATAAGTTGCAATCGTCCGTTGCGCCATATTGTTTTCAGTCAGCGGAAGAATAATGATCGTTTGTTGGCCATCACTCTTCAAGATTAGGTTAAAGCACTCAGTGGCGGATCTAGGAGAGGGCCCCCCCCCTCCTTATTTTGGGTAAAAAAAAAAAGAATCTCAGAAGGAAGAAAAGCCGGTTGGGCATGGGACAAAAAACCGCCGCCCTCCCCCCTTAGCTCAAGGTCTGGATCCGCTATTGGTACTATCAATTTTGCGTTCGAAGTCAACATGTCAGGAAAGTGCTTGGTCATTGTAGGTTCTCTCTGCTTCTGCCTCCTGACTCTTGCATTCTTTACGTATATTGAAGATACTAAAATATGCCGTCTATATTCCCGACAAAGTTGTACAACTATGTCGTTCCCGACAGTCTCGGGAATGGTTTGCAATCTCCATCCAACATATGGAGATGATTATCTTCCTTCGCTGGAATCATTTCTACACGCGTCAACAACTAACAAAGACCAAGATATTCGTTTGAGTGACTTAGCAATGGTTTCCAGATTGGCTAATGCACGTCAACCTGTAGTTGATGTAAGCAAGTCAAGCCGAATACATGTCGACAAAATCGCTCTCGTCACGCCTAATGATGATACAGTATTTTCGTGTGGAGATCTAGCACTTAATGCACTGAACGCTGGATACTCTGTGGTGACATATTTTGGCGACGGACATTGTGGACCAGATGGAAATGTAACAAAACCTCATACTCGAGAGGAGATATTGATTCCCATTGTGTTTGCTGAGAATTGTGCCAATCACACCACTTCAGACTTTAACAATCTTGTTAATGATTATAATTTCCTTAAAAATGCTGACCAAACATATGTAAATATCATAGAAACTAAACAAGGGTCTGATGAGCTCAGACAGATGGCCAAATAACAACTAACTCCGGAAAATAACACCGCAAACAACAGCAAGCCCTAACCGCGATGAGAACACTCATGGATCATACAGCGCAGCAGAACTCATTTTGTTCGTTTGTTTTTTTTCTCCGATAATATTGGCCTGTAAAGAAATATATAACGGAGTTTTTTCCACCCACCGCCGGTGTCACAGCGGATTTGGACCCCCTCGGTCTAAATTCGCTAGCGGATATGGACTCCCCTTCACAGATTTGGACCCCACTACCAAACTTTCCTTTTGAGCATCCTTTGTATCATATTTGGTGACTAATTCTATTTGCAAGCTTTTTTGTCGATGTTCTTTTCAATCACAACACAACATTTCCTCAATAAAGGTAGAAAAATAAAAACCAGCCTTTTCGTTCCAATTCTACCGCATTCATTATAGCGAGTCGTACAGTATACGCAAGAATTAGAACAAACTACTGCATTCGAACTATTGAAATTGTTACAATAAATCTTTGCTTCTTCTGATGCGAATCAACATTGGTACGAAACGTTATAACGATAGTGGAGACTATTGCGTCCAGTCACAAAGATAAGTCAGTCTGATTTTCTAAAATGATAACATTAAACAGTTTTTGAACAAGAACGAAGAAACTACTCGTATTACAAGTCTTCGTAAAGCCTATGATAAGTAAAAATGTTTCTATTCTGAACTATTGGAACTCTCAGCTTATTTTCAGATGCAAATCAACATCAATGTCAACGTCTTAACAAAAGTGGAGACTATTACATCGAACTCAATCTTATTTTCTAATTTTAACGATTATTAACTGTTTAGGGATCCGAAATAACACCTTAACAATTACGAAGACGTCTAGAGTCTGGCAATCTGCAGACAATGCAGAGCCACTCGCCCTTCGGGGCAGTCTTAAATCCCTCACAGCTCATGTGTAACCTTTCCTCGCACAACTCACACTGTACCATGTCGTCCCAAAACTCGGGCATTGAACAATGACAAAATAAATTAGTGTCACAAGTTTGTCTCTTATTGAATCTAGCGGTGTTTGACTATCGCGGGAAAGGTTCAAAAACGACCTCTCTCCAGACATTAAAATAAATTATTGCCCATTTTCCCTTGGTCAAAAGAAACATCCGACGGGATGCCAGTTCGTATGCATTAACGATACGCATGTTTTGAATTAAAAACATACTTTAGTACGTACTGGAACGTAAAGTGTCATCCCTTTTTACTAGAACGTTAAAGATGATGTTTTCACTCAGTTTTGTTGGGGAGTCCATATCCGCTAGCGGATTTGGACCGGGGAATCCAAATCTAGGGGGGTCCAAATCCGCTGGGGACACCGGCACCACATAATTGGCTAAATGCTAAGGAAGTAAAAGTTTTTTTCCTGCTGGGGTTTCCTGGCGCGCCGCTGCGAACACAGCTAACCTCATGTATTAGGCTGCGAGAAAATAAAAAAAGACAATTAGAAAAAGTTCTTTACTCACAAATCTCTTTTACAATCTATGACCGATTTTACATTTCGTGTCTGAAGTTGATTATTAGGCAAGTTGAGAGTAGTGTTGGAAATGTAAATGCAATTTGATACATTACGAGAAGAGGTATTTTACTCGTTGGTAATTTTATTCCTAAATTCGTTATTTATTTTTAATTGAAACATCACGGGATATGAGGACAGACACCTCCAAGGCAAACACAACATCGACGGAAAAATTACCAGTCAACGAAACGTGCACTTATGATATGTAATTAAGTTCAGGTTGGTTGGTCATCTCAACAGGAGAACTATTTTTTTTTATTAAAAGAAACATTGCTTTTTCATCACGACTTTTCGCGGTTAACGTTCAATTAAATCCGCAAAGGAAAAAAATCAAGACGAGTAAATTTAATTATGTCGCGATTCATACTCAAAATTAGTTTGTCATAAGATCAAAACGCACAGTCTAAAATGAAGCAACTCCCCAAGAAAGACAGAACCAAATAAAAAAAAGGAAAGGTTTTGCCTTCAGATAACAACAGCCCAAATATGACTGACTACCCAAAAGAGACAGAGCCAGGTGAAAAAAAAGGAAAGGTTCTGCCTTCAGATAACATCAGCCCAAAAGGGACTGACTACCCAAGAGAGACAGAACCAGGTGAAAAAAAAGGAAAGGTTCTGCCTTCAGATAACCACAGCCCAAATAGGACTGACTACCCAAGAGAGACAGAGCCTGGTGAAAAAAAAGGAAAGGTTTTGCCTTCAGATAACAACAGCCCAAATATGACTGACTACCCAAGAGAGACAGAGCCAGGTGAAAAAAAAGGAAAGGTTTTGCCTTCAGATAACAACAGCCCAAATATGACTGACTACCCAAGAGAGACAGAGCCTGGTGAAAAAAAAGGAAAGGTTTTGCCTTCAGATAACAACAGCCCAAATATGACTGACTACCCAAGAGAGACAGAGCCAGGTGAAAAAAAGGAAAGGTTTTGCCTTCAGATAACAACAGCCCAAATATGACTGACTACCCAAGAGAGACAGAACCAGGTGGAAAAAAAGGAAAGATTCTGCCTTCAGATCATGACAACAGCCCAAAAGGGACTGACTACCCAAGAGAGACAGAACCAGGTGAAAAAAAAAAGGAAAGGTTCTGCCTTCAGATAACAACAGCCCAAATATGACTGACTACCCAAGAGAGACAGAGCCAGGTAAAAAAAAAGGAAAAATTCTGCCTTCAGATAACCACAGCCCAAATAGGACTGACTACCCGAGAGAGACAGAACCAGGTGAAAAAAAAGGAAAGGTTCTGCCTTCAGATA